GCATTGTGCCAATTAAATTACACATATTCATTCAATTTTATGCCTAAGACAAGGTGGAAGGTAAATATCATTTTTCTTACTTTGCAGTAGAGAGATGGAAATGCTGAGGAGCTCCATAGTTTATTCCTCAAATAGAAGATTAATTTTTTAAAAAATATAAGTTTGAAATTATATGTAAATAATCTTTGATCTGACCGAAAATTCCATGAACACCAATGGCGGGAGCCTGAGCCGTGGGATCAAAGGATAAAAATAATCCAAAATGCTGATATATTTCTAATAAGCAGGATTTTAAAAAAAGAATATATTTATCCCATCACAACAAAAAATGAACTTTATTCAGGAAACAGAAGAAAAGTTACAGTTGCCCAAGTGGTAGAAAACCACGTCCAGGTGACAGACAGACACGGGAGCCATGGAGAGGACCCTCTGCCGCCGCCCAGGAAGAGACACGCTGCTCCGCTCTGCTCTGGACGCTCTGGGCCGCTGGCACAGCCGAGGACAGCCTCGCCCAGCTTCCTCCTGGAGAGCAGCAGGACAGCAGCCTCGTGGGCTGTCGGGGTCATCGCGGGCATCTTCCGGGCCAAGGGGCGAGGAAGATTTCTGCATCGTGACAGGCTTTGAAGAGAGGGTGAAGCAGGGGCTGTGGGACTTGGCGAGCCGACGCTCCTCTCCTGATCCTGATCCTGATGATGCTGAAGCTATTACTTGCTCTTGGGTGGGCACTTGGGCTGGCATGGTGGAGAAGGCTGCACAGGTGGGCATTTCTGCTGGCACAGCTGAGGGGGGCACGGCTTGGGGCATTTCGGTGGTGGGCACGGCTCGGGGCATTTTGGTGGTGGGCACGGCTCGGGGCATTTCGGTGGTGGGCACACCGGAGGTGGCTGGCAGGGCTGCTTGCACTGCTGCTGTTGATAAGACATCTTTCTGGAGTCTCACGATCTGAAAGAAATTACATGACAGTGTTCACAGGCGGGGACTCCTAGGGAGAGAGAGAACCCAAACCTTAGGTGCTACCACGGATATTATCTCCCCAAATTCCAGAAACAGACTTTCATCTCTTGCCTCCCTTCTTAAGGCATCTGGCTTCTCTCTTCCTCTTTGGTGAACGGCTTCATCAGCCCTAGGAAAACTCTCTCTTTTCTCTTATTGTTGTTTTCCAGAGGAAATAGCTCTGTTCGAAAGAACCAAGTCACGCGTTTTTGTATAAAAATAACATCTTACAGAAAGACCGTGACATATTCGAAAATCCTGGCCAACCTCACAAGAACCGCTATCATCACGATCTCCTGCCGGCCCCCAAAACGCGGACTTAAGTACAAAGTGAAGGGCGTTCGAGATCCAAGCCAGGGCCTCATCGTCTGAGACAGAAGCTTTTGAAAGCAAAGCAAGGGGAGGGACCACAGAAATACAGAAAACAAAACAATACCTACGTCTTTCCTCTCCTTCGTATCAAAACTTTCCTATTAATTTCTTTTCTCTTACAGAGCGTCAAAGTATCTACCAAAAATCAAGTGGAAACAGTACGTCCTTGTGTCCCAGGTCTCTGCCTCCGCCGACTAAGGAGCGTCAAACCCATGCTCATGACTTTGAACCCTCCAGATGTGCTGTCCCCGGATAAACCCAACACCAGTGAGCCCCACAACCCACTGACGTCAAGAGACCAGACTCACCAGAGTCTCTGCGGCAGGTCGGCAGGTCGGGGGTCAGGGACGACTCGGGGTGGCCACCGTAGAGCACAGGACTCTTTATAAGAGCACCCCCACTCCACCCAGGGGGAGGTGGGGCTCCTAAAATTGGCCCGGTCCAGTCATTCCCAGCCCAGATGCAAATCCATCCAGAACTGGCCGGGCAGGAACTCTGAA